ACAAGTATGATTCAGAAATTAAAAAGTATGATTCTGAAACATAAATTATTCCTAGGCAGCTCTATTGTATGTTTTCTAGCTTTGGTTTACACACATACATACACCCATATTTTCAGTTATGAGAAATTGAAAATCAGTTATGATAAATTCTGTGCTATCATGTATCTTTCCTGTAAAAGTTCTTCAGGAATCAGTCAGCAATAACTAAAACCTGTAGTACAAAAGCCAGCCCCCAAGGCAGGAAGATAAAAAGCAACATGGACTATAGTATATTAGAGAATACTAGAGTTCTACTCTAGTATAACACCCAAAGCATATATTATTCTTCCCCAAATGAGGACTTCTAGCTTGGCCTGCCATTGTCTTCGGGACTAATTTCATTGTAGGATTTAAGAAGGTGGATATTTTAGCACTATCAAATACATTTAGATGACATGCTTATTTTGGGTTCACTAGACTCCTCTTAGTGAGCTAGTGAATTGACATGGCCAAAAAGGGCAGATCAAACTTGTATTTTCAAAAAGAAGCCAAAAAAGCTTTATCATCTAAATTCAAATGACATATATGTGCAACCAAAAGATGTGATGTCTAACAAAAGCTGGTACTTCTAATAATACAAAACAGCATCTCTTCTTCTAGTACATAGATTCTTCCCAGAATTCTAAACTCATGGAAAAAACTCATACTGACTCATTGCTGTCATGATGAAGCATTGGACTGTCAAGCACAGGTAGATCAGATGGAGGGACATCTTAGTATTCCTGGTTCCATAGCTACTGCAATCTACATTTCAATAATTACCGTACCTCCTCCCTCATTCCAGTGGGCATAAAGGTGCATCTCTTGTTGTTATAATTAATAATCTGCTATCCCTGATCTTCATTCATAGGAAGAAAAAGAAATGTGTATTGCTAGAGTAATCTTCCAAAGACAACAAACCTCTCCTCAATCCAGCAGTTTCTCTCATCTGCTTTTAATCTGGACTTCAGAGTGCCAAAAATATGTGTAAGGTTTCAATAGAAGATCCCTTTTTATATAAATCATTCTTTTTTCACAAGGAGAAAGTTGTGAAACATTATAACTTGCAGTACAGTGTTCTGCTCAACCAAGCCTTTTTGTCTTCTGCCAATTTTACATTTTACTATAGAATTTATGAACCAGTTTATAGAAGCATGGTTTGATCATAACTGCACTCTAAATGTAATTTGAAGTTGGAGAGGTGGGGAGGGAAGTGATTGTAGGGGAAAACAAAGGAGGGGGTAATAATTCTCGATAGGAAATGTACTCATTACCTTACTCATGTAACTTTAACCCCTCTGTACAGTATCTTTACAATAAAATATACATTAAAATAAAGATAATTTGAGGACAGAGACATAGCTAAGTGGTACAGTGTGTGTATATATATACATATACATATATATTTAGCTACAGTATATACATATAAACATATATATATATATATATTTAGCATGTGTAAGGACCTGGGTTCAATATCTAGCATGAATAAAATAATTGTATGTTTAACAATATTTAGACACTATGGCATACTACTTTATTTTACAGTATTTTGGACAAAAATAAAATAAAAATAAAATCACCAGGTGAAACCATTGAAAAAATTCTAGTACATTTTTGAAAAGAAGAATTTTCTCAAACATAATTACTTGGATATAAGGTTTGAACTTGCTTGCTCAACTATGCTCTACCACTTGAACCATGCTTTCAGCCTAGCTTTTTTATCATTATTTTTTTAGATGAACTCTTATGTACTGTTCTTCTCTGCCTGGTCTCCATGTCCAGAGTAGATTTACAGATGTGAACCACCAGCACTAGCTCCAAACACAATTTCTTTAATCCCAACTCTACCTGTGACAACTCCTGGAGGAATTGAAGCAATGTCGTCCTTACTTTATAACTTTTAACAGTAGTCACTATGATTTACGAATAAGAGTTGGTATGCTTCAAGCTAAAGATATCTTATTTTTTCCTTCAGCAATGCTGTTGCCACCTGATTTCTTAACTGGAATGAGTTTTTGTCTATTCTTCCTGGACAACAAATTATATTAGCAAAAGTCAGAGAAGTTTCCCTTTCATACCCACTTCACTTTATCTGCTGTGAAATATATTTTCCCTTAATAGAGAATTTTATTCTTTACTACTTTTGGATTATACTCTTTCTGTTGCTAATACCTTTACCCTTCTTTTCTTCCTTTAACTAGTTATCATCATTCAAAGACTAATTTGTGAGCTGGGAAGGTGGCTCAGTGGTAGAGTGCTTGACTCGCATGCATGAGGCCCTGGGTTCCATTCCTCAGCACCACATAAACAGAAAAAGCAGGAAGTGGTGCTGTGGCTCAAGTGGTAGAGTTCCAGCCTTGAGCTGAAGAGCTAAGGGACAGCACCCAGGCCCAGAGTTCAAGCCCTAAGACCTGCAACAACAACAAAAAAAGACTAATTTGTTATAGATAGAAGTTGTGGTGTCTGTCATTACCCAGTACTTCATTCAAAAGTATCATGGATGCTAAAGTACACTGGAGGTGGTGAGCTTATCATTTACAACTAGACAGCCAAGCTGGCCATGTGGACCAGAGGTGAACCTGTGATAAAAGCTAAGCCAATAAGAGTCCTTAACTCTTTGGATTTGAAGCAGAGACTGAAAAGCTAAGCAATGTTGAAATCCAGGCATGGAGTTGCTTGCCTGTAATTCAGGACTCTAGAAGCCCAGGAAGGAGGGAGGAGTATGTGTTCCAGGCAGCTTGTGAGACATAGTGAATTTGAGGTCAGACTGGGCTACAGAGATAGACCCTGTTTTAAAGTGGTGGAGTAGATTTTTTTGGCTAAAAGTCAGTTTATTCCAGAGACAAAATGTGTGTCACCATAACAAATCGCATAGCATCCTGTCCTGTATGAACTACAAAGAGGAAATTATATAGACCTAATGCACCCATTAAAAAGAATTTTACCTCTTCTACTGTGTAGAATGATCTGCAGGGCACTCAGAATAGAGACAAGTACAGGGCAGTGCATGATGAATGCTAATGTAACACGCACAAAAAAGGAAATAAATGGGAAATGCTCTTATGAGTGTTCATTTTCCACCCAAGTAAATCGTCTTACAACAACAACCAAAAAAAATGTCAGGCAGGGATTATCTAAAATTTCCAGATTCCTTCCTTTGTACTATATAAAACTTTCCCTAGCTAATAAAACATCTGTAGATTTGATACTTTTTTTCTCTTTTAACTTTACAAACGATGTAGAATTTCCATCTCATGAAAGTCTCTCCTAAGTTCTCAGTTGGATGGAGGAAGAGGTAACCTTCCTCTGCTGGCTTCTCCCTCCAACACCCTTTCCCCAAATGGCCATCTGGAAAGGCCAGGACTATGGCCAACAAATTGAGAAGCATCAGGATGGAAACTCTGACCATAGCTGGTTCTTGCAGCATGAAGAGAGCTGATAGCCGGCGTCCTTTAAACTTGTGTTCCTTCCCCTCGTAAACAGAAGGACTTTCTCTGTTCCATGAAAAAGTTTTCCTGTTCCTTTTCTTTATTGTGCTTTATTGTAGACCACAGGCCTTAGATCTGGCTTCCTGGAACTGTAGGCAACAAGTACAAGTAGAAAAGGAAGTTGCTCCTGGGTGAAGTTGAGATTTCCAGACAAATGGATATAGCCACATAAATGCTTCCAGGTTCCCTCTCCTAGAAGAGCTAAGGGAAGCTTGAGTCCCATTGGCTTGAACCCTCGAAACCAAACCAGTTGTGAGAGCACAGACACAATGATGCGAAGAAACTTTTGGGACAACTGATTATCTCTTGAACCCAGCATTTTGTTTTCCCTTTCACAATATACTACAGAATAAGTATAAAAAGGGAAGGTGTTCTTTTTTTTTTCTTTCAGCAGTGTAACTATCTAATTTAGAATGCAGGCTGTGAGTTTTCTTTATAACAACTTATCCTATCCTTACCCCAATCAATAGATTACTGATTAAGCAAAATTTGTAATACCCAGTTAGCTGGCAAAAAGAGAGTGGAAGAAAAGTGTGAAGATTTGTGGTTATTCAAAAAACACTTTAAAATTGAAGTAACTAAAGTAAATCTTTTTTCATGTAAGAGTGCTTACAGTATTTCAAATTTATTATTTGGCAGTAAATTGGAACATTCTTGTTAACAGTATTTCTATATATACATCCCCTTCCTGATTATTACCAAGTAGTTTGGAATTATTTTTAGGGACATTTCCTCCCTTAGCTAGTTAGTATTGGACATTAGTAAATATTATTCACCTATTGAAAGCTATTTTTGAAAGAAGTAATATATGATTTAATGTTATAGAACCAAAATAGTTTCAGTTTATCCCTAGAGAACACGTTTTTCTTTAAAGTTACCCAATATGGTCTTAGTTTGAGATAATAGATTTTCTCTGATCCTATTAAAACATGCAGAGCTTTTATTTCTCTAGACCACACACACACACACACACACACACACACACACACACACACCCCTCTAAGATCACCGACCTGAAACTTATCTGTACTTGTAATGTGTCATGATTATATTACAGGTTAAATTTTATTTCAAAACTATCACAGCCTGCACAAAAATATAATCTAAGCACACAGGCAGTACCCTTCAAAAAACAAGCCAGTATTTCTATATTAAAGTTTAAATACCTATCACTTGTCATTCCAAGAGCTCCCAGCATTCTAAAGTCTAGATTTAAAGGGAGAGAGAGTTAGGCATGTAAGAACTATAAGCTGAAGTTATTTATTTCAATTCCATATAGAATATCAGAGTTCAGAAAAACAATCAATGTGTACAAAACTTTACATAACAAGAGAAACAAGAGACAATGCAGCACCTCTGAAGGGAAAAATAATTAAAAATTTTGTTGCATTTACAGGTTAAGTGCCACACAGAGAATTTACAACACAGTAATTTACTGCAATCACAAGGAGTTCCTTCAAGAAACGAGGGTCTTACACTCCAGATTTTTGAAAGGTATTGTCGGAATGCTTAAACGATCACCACAAAACGTGTACATTCTCAGGACTGAACTGATAAAAGTCATAAAAGATTTCCGTAGCATATATTATATAAAAGGAGTCCACTGCATTTCGGACAGCTGGCTTAGTGTCTCTGACAGGTGTGAAGCCTGGAGGAATTACTGGCTTGATGGTGGTCTTTCTGTATCCGGCAAGACAGCCCTTCTCCGCAGTAACAGCGTTGGAATATCTCCAGCCCATGGGAGCCTTTTCGCCGGTGCTTGGTACACACTTGACCTTCTTTGAGGACAGGTTTGCAGATTTTGGACCAGAAGTGTCTAGCACAACACAAGCCGGTGGCGCAGTCTGAGGATCGCAGGCAGACGGAACCTTCTTGACCTGGGGAAGGAGACAAGAGACAAAGCACATCAGTTACATGGTTACACCTGTGCCAATTCACGAAGCGAATTCGGCTGACATTTCCGTTCCGCTTCCAGAGAAGAATAAAAGGGTAAGGTCCTTCCGTCTACCTTTGGTGTGATATATTTTTGAAGACAGCGTGGTCCTCCTGGCGTAGCTATCCAAGGTGCCATGATCGTTACCAAAGCTTTCAATGATGGTTTCCTCGATTTCTCCTCGATGGAAGTGACTGTGGTCAGAAGGCACACATATCCCTAAGGAAGCCGGAAGTAGAGATTAATTTCCAAGCTGTAGAATGTTCCAGCCTTAACAGGGCTGTTCTGAAATCGGACTTCCTTGTGAACACCCTAATAGTTTAACTCCCTGGTATTACTGCAAAACTGCCCAGATAAACAGACCAAAGGATCGGCCAGTAAATCGTCTAGCCATGAAAAATGCATTCCCACGGACTCTGCTAGTGGCAGTGACACTTCTGTTCATTTTAATATTATCTTTTTATTGGGGGGAGAAAATGGGTGAAGAAATTCACTTATTTTTATCTTAAAAAAAAGAGTTCCTCTTGCCGAGGGGCTGTATGAGCACGGATGGACTGAGGAAAACGAATGCAGTGCCAGCTAGCTGCCTGGCTGATGACAGTTTCACCCAGCAGTTCCTTTACTATATAATTTCGATATTACAGAGATTGAGTTCGCCCATTCTGCACTGCCGCTGGATGCTTGGGAGGGTGGCCACCCAGCGAGTTTATTTTTAGAGACCTCTTGGGCTGTCTGAGTCTACCTCTTTGAGACATTAAAATCCTGTGGATGTGTGGCTGGGGTGGAGGGGCGGAGAGAAGAGTGCTTATTTTAAGGTGAGGGGGAGGAGGGGAGGAGCGTGGACGGAGGAAGGATGTCGGAGCCAGCCTGGATGCCAGACCCTCCAGAAAGCCCGCATAGGTGGCCAGGGAAGATGCAGTTTAGTCTGGGTTTTGGCTGACAATCTTTTGCACTTCCAGAGAAAATAAAGAAGAGACAGTTGGGCCAAAGTCGTCTTTAAGGAACGTGAGATAGGCAGATCATTGCCAGGGTTTGGTCTTAGTCTCAGAATTGCACCCCCTCCAGCCCTCATTCCTGGCCCTCCTCATTTTCTTTCTAAGATGCGCCCCCCCACCCCGGCCCCCAGGCTTCCAGAACAAGACAAACTTTTAAGGAGGAAGATGGGGCGGGGCGGGGGGTGCTTCCCAGACCTCCGGATTCAACAAGTGTAATGCAGACATTCCAAGAAGCACCTTGCAAACTTAAATCTCCTTGGCGCAGGTGGCACCCACCCCAGCTGGCCCCAGAGATACACAGGGCTTTCTTCCCCTTCTCACACAATCTGGGGTCGGGGGAGGGGTGGAGATGGAGGGGGAGAGAGTGGGGGGAGGGCTTCAGTCTACCAAGAGGGAGACTCACCGTTTTTGCAGTAGTTCCCGGGGCAGCACATGGCGTGGCGCACGCAGCGCTTGCGCCGCTTCCGGCAGGCCAGGCAGATCTGCGCGCCCGCGGCCCCCGCGCGGAGCGGGCTGGCGCAGTACTCATCCGAGCCGCACTCCTCGTCCTCGGCGCAGGGGTACGGCTGAGGGAGGGGAGCCGGAGGCGGACGGTGAGGCCCCCAGGTTCTGCGTTTACCCCGAAGCATCCCCCGACCCCCGCCGTCCAGCCCGGGGTGATCATCGTGGAGCTTCTGCGCAAGCCGCGCGCGTGCACCCCCACCCCACCCCACTGCTGCCCCAATGCAACCGGAATCTCCCACGTTCCCTCCCCTCCGTGCCAGACGTGAGGCCATCATCACACACCCCACTTCCAGGGCGCTGCATGTCTTCCCCCCCCCCCCGAATCCCCATCTCACCTGGTAGTTGTCCAGGGTCTGGTACTTGTTCCCGCCCTCGTACAGCACCCCGGGCGCCACGCTGACGGCGGAGCCGGGGTGGCCGGCAGCGCCACCCAGCGGCGGGGGCAGGTTCTTGATCGCATTGGAATTGACCAGCACGGAGTTCAAGGTGGCGCCCACTCCCAGCAGAGCCGGGTGGCCGAGAGCGGCCACTAGAAAGGCGACTGCGAATCGAGCGGCCACCCGTGCGCCCGCCACCGTCATCGCCGAAAGAATCAAGTGCAAAGAAGGCCGGGGAGGGGGAAGGAATGAATGTCACTTTGCCAACGGGAGTGGGGGGGTGGGGATGCAGGCGCGGCGGCTGCAGGGTTTGGGGGTGCAGGGGGTGTCTGCAACCTTCAGCTGCGGGGAGCGCGCAGCGCAGCTCTGCTTCGCCCAGGCCACCACTGCCGCCTTTATACCCGGGGCTGCGCGCATTCCCGGCCCCTTGGGGGGTAGACAACAAAGCCCAGGATGGGATTTCAAAGCGTTGGGAGGGGCTGGAAGGGGGTGTGTTTGTACACACGGAGTTGAAGAGGGTGTGCCCTCCCTTGGCGGCCGGGCCTCGCGCTGGGGCAGCCTGCCTAGCTGGAGTGACAGCTCGCAGGGCGCATTAGAACCCGTGGGTGATGTTAATCAACCCAGCTGGCAGAACTCTAAGAGAGCTCTGGGTCCCTCTTTTGCAGTGGGGACTGATTTTGTTTTTCAGAGTCACAAGGGTAGGCTAGTGACTGCAAAACCACTTTTTTTTTGCCCCTTTTCCTCATAGGCTGGTTTATTGTGCACACAAATAATTCTAAATTAAGCATTGAATAATATTCAGTAGCTCAGTATTAACTATCAATCTGATCGCTCACTCGAAGGCCCTAGGAAGAGGTACCCTGATTAACCCTTTAGCGACCAGATTCGGATGAAGTTCACCTCGAGGCTCTCCTCCACCCCTCCCTTTCCCTGCCACCATCAGAAGAAAAAAAAATGTGCAAAGACAGGGAAATTTACACATCAAACGAGGATAAGAGGGGAGAAGAATGAATTCTCTTTTGATGGGACGTTTAGAGAAGGAGGCGAGAGACTGACGTTTGGAAACTAGATCAGTGGTGAAGGGAAATGACCAAGGGATAATCAAACTACTTAATGTGGTTCTTTGAATCTGGTCAGTTGGGGCAGTAGATGAACTTGATTAGGCAGACACAGGAGATCAAAGTGGCCTGTAGCTGGCCAGGACAGAGTCCACTGTGCAGGGTCAGCCATTCCTGCCTGTCCTGCCAGGGGCTCCACTTTCTCAGTGGTGGGTGAATGGAGGAAGATAAGAACCCCTCAAGGCTCAGGGCCTGATTTCCTCATTACTATTGCGTATCCCAAGGCTTGAGAGAGCTTGCTTTGATCCCAACTCCTGTCTTTCTCACCACACAGGACAGAAGAATAAGTTCTACTACAGGCACCAAGGGGAGGGGGGCTGGAAGTGAACCCGAGAATTCACTTTTTATTGTTATCATTAAGAACTTATGTAAAGAGGTTACAATTCCATGTCAGGTTATGAGTGTAATGCTCCGACCTACAAGTTACCAGAGTGAATTTAATGTGAATGACATCAGTGTGTAAAAAATAATAAAGTACAGCTGGTAATACTTATGAATTACAATCATTATCTACTTAGCCACTAAAAGTACATTAGAATTAGTGCCACATCACTGTCCTTCCATTTGTGTTATAGCTAACGTCTTCATTTTCCCTTTTGGGGTGTGTTTATGTGTGTGATGGGGGGTAATACATGGTGGCAAGGTAAGGCATGAAGTGAATTCAGATATTTATGAACCAGAGGGATCATTTTTGACAATGAAGTTCAAGTTCTTACCTGGCACTGGTGGCTCATTCTTGTAATCCTAGATATTCAGGAGGCTGAGATTGGAGGAATTCACTTTGAAGCCAGTCAGTCCAGAAAAGTGTGTGAGATTCTTATCTCCAATTAACCATCAAAAAACTGGAATTGGGGGCAGGGAAGGTGGCTCAGTGGTAGAGTGCTTGCCTTGCATGCATGAGGCCCTGGGTTCAATTCCTCATCACTACATAAGCAGAAAAGGCTGGAAGTAGCACTGTGGCTCAAGTGGTAGAGCGCTAGCCTTGAGCTGAAGAGCTGAGGGACAGCGCCCGGGCCCAGAGTTCAGGCCCCACGACCAACAACAACAAAAAGCTGACAGTGGAGCTGTGGTTCAAGTGGTAGAGTGCCAGCTATGAGCAAATAAAATTAATGGACAGTGGACAGGCCCTGACTTCAAGTCCCAGTAGAGACACAAAAAAGTTCAAGTTCTCTTTATTCTAAACAGCAATTAGAAAAGGTAGAGTAATAAGAAAATTATAGTAATGAAAAGATACAAAATGCACATAACTGTTTAATAACAAGTTGGCCTTATATGTGTGAGAAAATGTGAGTTTGAAAATAGAAGAAATTACTGAAAATCACTGTTGAATAGAAAAGACTGGATGTAGTTATCCTATGTTCCTGCAACCTCTGGAATATCTGTAATTACTGCACACTGATCTGATATAATCATGACTGGGAAGGCCACCAATGGTAACCAGTGGTAGTCTAGAAGAAATAGACTCTTGAACTTGACAAGGAAATGAGATTTAGGAAAGAGTCTGTCATGGTATATGTTCTGTTTCCTGAGTTCCAAGATTCCTGCAGGGACAGTCTTCTAAGCAGTTCCTCCTCGGAGCTTTTAATTTCACTGAAGTTCCTCTCTTTCAGACTTCCATCTTTCTTGCGAAATTTCCACTGGCTTATTGAGAAATTATAGCTTGACATTATAACGTGGATTAATCCTTCTGTGTCTTTAGGTTTTATTATGAATGTATACAATGGTGTAGACTTGGCTAGTGTACTAGAATTATTTTGAGTAAATAAAATATTTAGAAACAAAGGAGAGACTTTTAAACTGTGTTTTATAAAGAGAACACCAGAATTAAAAATGCAGCAAGAGTCCCTGGGTAGATTATGGCTACCAGACAGTGGACTTGAACTTCATGTCAGTACAGAGACATTATCATGTAGAAGGGTAAAGGAATAGGAGAGTTTATGTGTCACATTGTCACTGCAAAATATTAATAATATCAATAATTAATGTGTGCAGCACTTTGGGAGTACTACAAAATCTATATAAACTATCTTAAACTTGTATAATGTTGAAATCTAAGGTAAGAAATTGACTACCTATCTGAAGAGTTGAAGTATCTTTTCTGGTCCAATTATCCTAGTAAAGTACTGCTATAGATACATTTATGGTACTTCAAAGTCCAATGTCTTTCCCTATTTTAAGAAGAGGTGGTCCGTGACTACTCTCAGCTCACTGAGAGTTTGCATTCACAAATGAAACCTATAGGCTATTTTTACCTTTGTTTGTACCCAGGTTCTTCCTGAGTTTGCCATGAGTTAAAAAGCTAATAATGAGTAGGCAACATATCTGAGTTCCTACAATGTGCCTTCCACTGTTCCTGGTGCTGCTTGTTAAAGATGAATACTCATCTAATCCATCTTCAGTTAGTCGGGGAGGAGAATTGTGTGAGGTAAACTCATTCAGGAACCTTCTTTTCCAAATGGAGAACTTTGCTTTTTTAATAGAGTCATCACCCTTTGAAAATCCTCTCCAAGTTCTGGTTTACTCACAGATATTAGCAGCAAGAAGAAGATAGGTAGAGTAGAAGGGAAGCTAGGCATCAGTGGCTCACATCTATAATAATAGGTACTAAGGTGGCTGAGATCCGAGGACCAGCCTGGGCAAGAAAATTCAATGGGACTCTTATTTCCAATCATCCACAAAAAAAGAAAGCAGTGGAGCTGTGGCTCAAGCAGCCTAGCCATGAGCAAAACAACTCAGGGATAGCCGCCAGGCCCTGAGTTCAAGACTTAGAACCTGTGCATGTGCGTGCAAGCATGCCCGTGCATGCATGCATGTGTGTGCACACACACAGGTAAAGGGAAATTCATTCTGTTAATATTCAGTGGTGCTCACTATTAGCAGTAGATCACGAAGGGGTCAATGACAGGATCCTTGTTTTTAGGGAATTATGTTATGTTGAAAAATATGTTCAGGTGGGAATAGGATCGAGTCCATCCCATCTCCAAACAGATTCTATTTTTGATACATATTGGTCCTGGAAAACAAGGGGAAAAGTCCAAGAACTATCCCCAACAAGTGTGAAGGAAGAGGAGGCGATCAGATGGTTTTCTGAGCCTCTCCAACAGCTCGAGGTAGCAGGAGCGGGACAGGCGTAGGCAGTCTATTACATTCAGTTTATTTTGTCCTGCAGAGAACTCTGACTGTTATTTGATCCACGTTTTATATGCAAGTTTAATATTAGAGTTAGAGCAGGAGAACTATGTTTACCCCAACCGATTGAACCTTGTCACTCAGCAGGGGCATTTGGCAAAGCTGTCTCATATTCTAAAGTGCTCTGTTCTAGGCACTGAATATCATCAGCCTCTTCATCCGGGAGACAAACCCACCCATAGTTTGCCATTGCAAACTAATTTTCCATCTTTGTTATCTGAGGTGCTTTTATGATGGATACATGTTGGTCTCCCCCACATCTGCTTTCCTCACTCCTTCTTTTCATTCTTTCAATCTTCTGCTTTGTTAAATCAAAGGAAATAGATTCATTGACATTTCATTTTATTTCCCTAGGAAATCACAGAATCACAGTTAGCTACCTGTTTTTGCGGATGCCTCTCTTGAATTTATGGCAGACATCTCTCATCCCTGGTGTTAAAAAAAAAAGGTCAGATCTTTCTTATCGTCTTTTTAAAAGATATTTGGTCTTAATGCTCTTCATGAGGTTACAGAACTTTCAGACTGGGCCTGGAGTGGGATTCCCCGGAGAGAGGGGATTTTCTGCAGTTCCCAGTACAAAGAGAATGGGAGATCTGGTGATAGTGACTGTGTTTATTTGGCCAGTGGTGATGGCCAGTCAAGATAAACCTGGCTTCATGAGGCCTTTCTAACCCAGCCCAGAAGAAGGTACTGGAGCAAAGCATTAAAAAAAATGGGTGAGAATAGAGCCCAGAATCCAGCAAGACAACTAAATACAAGCACGGATGGTGGTCTGTATCTTCCCTGAATTCAGGACACTGGGAAAAGTGTGTTGTGTGAAGGCCTGGGCCACTGTGCAGCCCCTTCCCATCCTCTAAAGGGCTCACTATCCTAACCATAGGACAGGCCAGCAAGGGG